CCCCCCCCCTCCCCCCCTTCACGCAAACGCACCTTGCCGCCGCAGAAGATCCACTTGAGGCTGCGCTGGTCCAAAATGTTCTGCAGCGTCGGCGGCAGCGCATCGGCGTCGACGAGGGCGGCGGATGACATGGTGTGCAGTGTGTGTGTGAGGCAAGACGGTGGTGGTGCAGAGTCAGGATGCCGATGCCGGCGTGCGACACGCCAAAGGCGCGCGCGCCGAGCACCGTGCGCAGCAGCCGACGTGCTTGTGGCCGGTGGACGCGCGCCGTGCGCGGTGGCCGAGTTGCGCTCCACTTCAACCTCCTTCCCCCCTTGCCCCCATTTGCTCCGCTTGCTTCCCTCCTCTTTGCCCCCCTCACTTCCCAAATGTCGCTGCATCTCTCTCCGCCTCTGCCCGCGCATGCCACGCTGCATCTCGACGGCCTCGACTTCCCGCAGCCGCTGCCTCTGGCGCGCATCGCACGCCTGCCGCGAGGCTGGCACCTGCTGGCCTGGCAGCCTGCGCCGCACAGCTCCGGCGGCATGCCAGGCGCGCCGCCGCGCAGAGGCATCTTCTTCCGAACGACGCACGCCGACGACGAGACGAGACGCGCGTGGGATCAAGACGCCCAGTCGTTGCGCAGCAGCAGCAGCAGCAGCAGCAGCAGCAGCGACAGCGACGCAGAGGCAGAGGCAGATTCGGCCCTCGCGCCTGCTGCTTCCTCCTCATCCTCCTCTGCCCACCGAGGCGCAGCGGTCCCCTATCCGCTCCCCGCGCCCGCACAGCGCGCATGGGCCATGCAGACGCGGCTCCTCTGGCGCGTGCCCCACGTGCTCCCTCGCGTCCTTTGCGGCGCCGTCGGGGCCGCCTCAAGCGAGCTGCACATCGACGCCTCGCAGTCGCTCGTGCACGCCGAGCTGCCGCGTGGCCAGCGAGCTTCGCGCGCCGAACGCGCACTCGAGGCACACCTGAACGACTCGAAGTCGGAGCGCTTCAGAGGCACACTGGCGTTTACAAGGGTGCGCTTGAGACAGAGTTGGAAAGAGGCAGTGGGAGAGGAGAGGAGTAGATGGAGCGAAGATAAGAGCTTGAGCTTGGCGGAGGCACTCGAGGAGGCAGGAGGTGAGTGTTGATTGTTGTTGTTTGTTGTGGGAGGTGGGCTCTGTACGAGAGCACACACGGTTTCGTGGGCGGGTGTGGGTGCCTTTACCCCTCTCCCCCAAGCTGACTTGTAGCCGCAAACAAACACACACACACACAGGCACCACATGTCTGCTTGCCGAGTTCGAGCTCAGCTGGCTGCTCTTCAGCAGCTTGCAAAGCTATGCCTCCTTTACGCACTGGCGCGTGTTGGTCGAGCTCTTCTGTCGATCCGGCGCGCTCCTCGGTGCGCCTTTGCCGCCCATCAGTTCCCCCACCTCCGTCGTAGGGCCCGCGCAAGCCGTCGATGTGCATCCGGCGTTCCTGCAAGTGCTCACAGCGCAGATGGGGAGTGTAAGTGGGAGCTTCTTTGAAGAGTGCGACGAAGCAAACCTGCAGGACTGGCTCGAGGGAGAATTGGGCGAGCTAAGACGCAACATCGTCTCTGCTCTAGCTGCATGGCCTCGGCCTCGCTCGAGCTCGCACAAGGCGCACTCGGAGAAGCAGGAGGAAGCGCCGCAAGACGCTCGAGCTTCTCCTCCTCATCAAGCAGAAGCAGAAGCAGAGGCAGAAGCAGAAGCAGAAGCAGCAGCGGGAGCAGGAGCGGCGCCGTTGATCGCCGCCTGGCGAGCGCTGGCCCTCTGTCTGCGCGCGCGCTTTGCGATCGACATTGAGGCAAGGCAGGACGAGGAGGTGATGCTCGAGGATGAGCTGGGCGAGGGAGAGGAGGCGCCGCTCGTTGTGCAATTATAACAAC